TCTTGAGCAAGTTACTCCATGTCTCTAATCCCAGTTTTCTTACTAGTCAATGACACTAAGATTAATACCGCTATTAATCATAATACCACCAGCCTCATGGGATTTCTGCAAATTAAGTGAAAGCACACACCACTGTCAGCACAATGCTTGCATGTAATAAGCACTCGGTAAATATTACCTGCTAGTGTTCATGATATAATAAGAGTGTTCCTGTAATGTTACTTAAATGTTATTACTTTAAGCTAAGAAGTTAGAAACCAAAATAATGTCTGTAAAGTACTTAAAGAAGTACCTGGCACATAATAGGTTGGATAAATATAAGGGGGATAAGGAGGGGAAGGTTGATACAGCATTTTACAGTTGTTGTAAGCTTAAGAGTACAATTGTAGTTACCACATTCCTCATAAAATACTGACAGTAGTGATAGTACTTACTGAGCAGCTGCTGTGTGCCAGGAATTATTCCAAATACTTTATATATAACGACTAATTGAACAGTTACAAAGAACACAGGAAGTAGGTAATGCTGTTACCGCCATTGTACAAATAAAGACACTGAGGTACAGAAAGATTAAATAATTTGACCAAGGTTACACCTTTAGCAAGTAGGGTTTAAAAACAGGATTTTGAACCCAGGTAGCAGAGGTAAGAGTTTTGCATTTGGAGAATTAGGCACAGACCACATCATAAGGGCCCCGTCATTGAGGCTGGCAGGCTGTTAAAAAGTATTGAACAGAGAGACATGACATGATCTGATACATATTTTTCAAGAATGACTGTTTAGCTATTAACCAGATCTAGAAAAGTAGAAGAGATTTAAGCACCGACCGTATGAACTGGTCAAAGGCCCAGAAAGGCACAACGTGGTCTGCATGGTTTGTTGTGTGGCTCCAGCATTACTTCCATGTCACACAACTCTAGGGGACACTTTCTCGTGGTGGTCTTGTAGCACCTTTTGGAATCAAACAAAGTGGAGGTCCAAGGCAGGGGTTGGGGTCTAGGGACAGACTGAAGTTGCTGTATAATGATGTATCCGTAGATTTCATCACTGCTCACCTGCCAAAGTGAGAAGTGTAGACTCCTCTCACCAATCCAAGGCTCATGGAGGTTTTTAACTCACTGGCCAGGCATGCCAGTTACCAAAGAGACAGGCCACTGGTGATTTTCATTTAACTCAGAAAAATGACAGGGTTTTAGCGAATGCCACCAACGCACAGAAGGACATTTGATGAGTGTGCTAAGCTTGTCCCCCTTTCCCTGTTTTGTGTGACCGTCAAGCGCCGCCGTGATCCAGTTGACAATATAATCTCATTCAGGTCATCAGTGCACTCTCAGAACCATCACATCCTTTCTTCAAAATCTTGGGGCAAGTTGAGTTAATAGCGAGGAAGCTGCCATGCTTTTAAGCCATAGCATGTCATTAAGCTGTAAGAGCAATTTAAGTGAAAGCATTTTTGTGTTAAATTCAGAACCTGCCTCTTTTTTACAGTTATGTGACTTTTTCTTTCCTGAGGCTTCAGAAATAAACTTCTTAGGAGAATTTAATGCTGGCGGTGAAAGAAGCAAGCATTCTAGAGAATAAACAAACTTCAGAGTCGTACTGCCGAGACAGTATGCCAGGCCATTCTTTTCTGGCATATCAGAGTTTAAACTATTTCGGGACAGATGGCTGTCTCTTCCAGAAAATTTCCGGTCTAATTCACGATGTATGGCAGCCCAATCCGTTTCTTTAAAAAATCATCCTGAAAGTTAAGGAATGTCTCCTGTCTATTCAACTCACGTCTCTAAGGCTTTAATTTAAGCCAATTTCCTTTGTTCAGTCTTCTCTGGCCATGGAGAAGAGCTAGTCAGCATCTTCCACATATGAGGGGCTTTAATCAAATTACTCCTTACCTGCCTTTTCTTCAGGCTAAACAATTCCACGTCCTTTAACCTTTCCTCACAGAATTTATTTTCCATCTTTTTAATCATTTTGATTGGTCTTTTTCTGCGCTATCTCCAGAGGGTCTTTGTTAATACTTCTCTAAGAATTTTAAGAAGTCATTTTCTCTGAGAAAATCAGAAACCTGCTATCCCATTTGATGTCCTGAGTTCTGACTTTGGTAGTTCTAGCAAGTGAGTTCATGTCAGCAGTTGGAGGTGATTTTTCAACATCTGTAGTTGTCTTCATTTGAGTGGCTTACCGTTGGACAAAGTAATCGTCCAATTTTCCTAATTTTTCTGTTATGACTTGCTTTTCCCTCTTTGCTGTGCATAAAGAAGGAACAACAGAAAGAACGGAAAGGCAGGCAGATTCAACCTAGAGACCCTCGGGTTGTTACGGGAAGTAAAGCAACTCGTGGAGAATTGAAGTAACACAAGAGAAACAGGCTGCTTTGTTTAAGCTGCTTTCGAATCTGTCCTGGTTCTGTGTAAAAGGCAGAAAAAGTTCCATGGTTAATCATCATTTTACATAAGCTGCGGAATTGGAGGGAGGTGGAATGATAGGTGAATCCGTATACTTAAATGATTTTGCATGGCTAATATCACCCGACTCATCGCCTTCTCATGCAAAGAGAGGGCACACTGGTTGGAAGCAGGTCCTTTTCTGTGTCATTCTCTGTGGCTGTTTGGGAAACAGTGGAGGTTAGTTCCAGGCTTCAGGATGACCACCTAGAATTTGCAGAAACCCAGACAGTGATTTTCCTTTTTGATTTTTCACATTGGTGTTAACTGCCTTCTGATTCCCCAAAGTTTCGACAGTCACTCACTGCACAGAAAGCATCTTTCTAGCACCATTCCACCATGTCTCCTGCAGAAAGCACTCTTATTTGGCACTGGAGGATCCAGATGGGCCAGAAACAGTTCATTCAGCTTTTCTCTTCATTCTGTTTCCTTCTCCTATTAGTATTTTCGGTGGCTGCATATTTCAAATTACAGTTCTTTTTTTTTTTTTTTTTTTTTTTTTTGTGTGTGTGTGTGTGTGTGTGTGTGTGTGACAAGAATAACTTTGTGGCCCATTGAGAACCAGACTCTGTCACTTAGTAGCTGTTCCATTCCTCATATGTCATAGAATTACCTTTTTAATTTTTTTAAAAAAATGTTTTTTGCTTTTTGTTTTTTTTGAGCCAGAGTGTCACTCTGTCTCCTAGACTGGAGTGCAGTGGCGCCATCTCTGCTCACTGCAGCCTCCACCTCCCAAGTTCAAGCAATTCTTGTGCCTCAGCCTCCTAAGTAGCTGGAATTACAGGTGTGCATCATCATGCCTAGATAATTTTTGTATTTTTAGTAGAGACAGGGTTTTACCATGTTGGCCAGGCTGGTTTCACACTCCTAACCCCAAGTTATCTGCCCACCTTGGCCACCCAAAGGGCTGGGATTTCAGTAATGAGCCACCAGTCCCAGCCAGAATTACCTTTTTTTTTTTTGAGACGGAGTTTTATTCTTGTTACCCAGGCTGGAGTGCAATGGTGCGATCTCGGCTCACCGCAACCTCCGCCTCCTGGGCTCGCGCAGTTCTCCTGCCTCAGCCTCCTGACTAGCTGGGATTACAGGCACGCGCCACCATTCCCAGCTAATTTTTTGTATTTTTAGTAGAGACGGGGTTTCCCCTTGTTGACCAGGATGGTCTCGATCTCTTGACCTCGTGATCCGCCCGCCTCAGCCTCCCAAAGTGCTGGGATTACAGGCTTGAGCCACCGCGGCCGGCCCCAGAATTACCTTTTTTAATGATCACAATGTTGAGGGCCACACCCACACAAAAATCCCTTTTTTGTTTTAGTCTGTTTTTGAGACAGGGTCTCACTATGTCACCCAGGCTGGAGTGCAGTGGTGCAGTCATAGCTCACTGCAGCCTGGAACTCCCAGCCTCAAGCAACCGTCTCATCTCGGCCTCCCAAGAAGCTGTGAATACAGACATACGCCTCCATGCCCAGCAAATTTTTGTGTTTTTTGTAGAGTCTGGTCTCACTGGGTTGTCTCGGGGTAGTCTCAAACTCCTCCTGGGTTCAAGCGATCTTCCGCCTCAGCCTCCCAAGGTGTTGTGATTATATGAGTGAGTCATCACACCTGGCCCAAGAATCCCTTTTGATAATAAAAATATGATTTGGACACCCTAATCTCTTTCCTTTACTTTCCGTAAAAGTTAGAACAGCAGTCTTGAATGAGATGTTTCTTAATAATATTAACAATAATGATAGTAACTAACCTTCATTGAGGACTGTGTACTAACTGTGTACTAAGCAATTGACACAAATTTTAATACTCAGGTTTTGCAGTTGTGGAAACTTGAGTTACAAAAAACTTGAATCGTTTGTCTCTGATTCCCCATATGGTAAATGTTGAACTTAGGCAGTTTGACTTGCAAGACACACATATAGTGACGTGGTGACTTTGCCAAACTTGATCACTAGTATGTCTGAAGATGCCAAGAATTAAATCCCTAATATTTATGAAGCTCTTATGATATTCTAGGAACTGTTCTAAGCACTGTACTTGGATTAAACATTTTGTCAGCACTTAATGTTGACATAATTCCTTTGGGTAAATAGTGTTACGATTATCACCATTTTATTGAAGAAAAATGGTGGCTCAGGGTAAGTAGGGTGTTGAGACCACAGAGTGGGTAGACAAGGGAGCTGGAATTCATACCCAGGCAGCCTTGCTCTGGGATGTACCAGTATCACCCAGACCCCGTGTTTCTTCCTAGAATGCTTTAAAGGCCTTTCCAGCAGGGCACTGAAGAAAGACTGGGACTCTCACAGGAGGCACAAACTCAGAGCACAGTGCAGCCCTCAAATGAACTGTTTTCCTGGTTAGTTGGCAGGACACAAAGCACAGCCAGGTGAGCCTGTTGGCAGTGTTTCCAGCAGGCAGCCTCGGGTCCTGCTGGGTTTAGCAGCCCCAGCATCGGGCAATTTCTACCATTTCCTGCTCTTCTCACCCCCACCCGCTTTGGACCGAATAGCTTTTCTAATTGATGTGATTTTTTTTTTTCCCTTCCCTCTCTCATTCTCTGTTCAGCTTGAGGCTTTTTATTCCATCTTCACCACGGAGCAGCAAGACCATGTCAAGTCGGTGGAGTATCTGAGAAATAACTTTCGACCTCAGCAGGATCTGCATGACAGGGTGGTATCCAAGTCCGCCGTCCGTGACGCCTGGAACCACGACATGACAGACTTCTTGGAAAACCCGCTGGGGACAGAAGCCTCTAAAGGTATATCTGGATTAAGTGCCTTGCCTAGAGGAAGATTCCTTATCATAAATTACTTTAAATTAAAAGAAATTCAAAGCCGGCTAGGAATTGGAACTTGATGTTAAATGTATATGCTTCTCTGCTAAAGGGAACTTGTCTGACTGAAAAATAGTAGCAGTTTTGGGAATAACTTCTGTTAAACAGATATGATAGAAATTGTCCTTTTGGCCAGTAAGAGGTCATTCTGTCTGCATTTCTGCCTTGGAACTTCAAAACTTACTAGCAATGTCTAGAGAAAGCTTTCTGAAAAGTGTCTTACTTTCTACATGTTTCCCTGTTGATCAGGAGTTTATCTCTGAGCTCAGACATCAGTGAAATCGGAGAGTTCCCCGACTCTCCGTTCCAAGGACCTGCAACAGGAGTGTGGCTCCGTCTGTTCAGTCACCGTTCCCTGCTCAAATACCTTATGGGAGGGGGAGCACAGAGACGGGCAGGCGCAAGAGCCAGGGCGAGCGCCTTGGGGCTCTGGCACTAGGGTTGTATGTCCATGACTCCCGAAGCCCAAGTGGGTGTGTGTTACAGTGGGCTCTTTCAGCCCTGCTGTTTGTGGACAGCTTAAGTGTTAACCAGCTCAATGACCTCTTGGTACCTAGATCCTTGTCTGGCGTCCAAGAAGAATCAGGTTGCACATGGACTTGAAGGATGAATGTGGGGGTTTTACTGAGCGGTGGAGGTGGCTCTCAGTGAGATGTATGGGGAGTTGGAAGGGGTATAGAGTGGGAAGATGATGAAGTTTTCCCATTCAGTGGCTGATCTCTCTGATTGTCCCTAGTCAAACTCCTCTTGATATTCAGATGCTGCTTCTCTTCTCCCTGCTTTGCCGTTCTGCTGTTCTTCAGCTCTTCTGTTCATTCCCCTTGTCTGCTTCTGGAGCCTGGGGTATGGGGTTTATATGGATGCAGGATAGGGAGGCATGGAGGGCCAAAAGGCAACTTTGGGACATGAAGACAGGAATGTCTGTTTTCACTTAGGACCAAGGGTTTCCAGGCTTAAGGATGGGGCCTTTGCTGGGGAACCGCCCTCTTCTTCCCAGTATTTCCCTATCTCTGTCCATATCACCAGGACCTTTGAATTGTTCCCAATTTCCAGTATATTACAGTCTTACTACCATCCACCCCAGGCAAGAACTCCCACTCCAGCCTCATCCCCTATTGGAAATAACTTGTTTGTTTGTTTGTTTGTTTGTTTTTAAACCTATTATTTAACAGTTTAGTCCTTGTATCTGATCAACATAAGTTTATCATTTTCAGGCATCTCAGTCTTTTCCATTTCAACTTTCTCATGTGAAATGAATACTAATTTCTCTTCCAGGAAACTAGAATGTCTCCTTCTACCCTCACCCTCCTCTCAGGCTCTGGGATTTGTCATAATTGTGACGCAGAGCTCCGGAAATGCTGAGGGGAGCAAGGCTTATCAAAGCCCTATTGCTTGGAAGGGAGGAAGGAAAGAGAAGGAATTTCCTTCTGGTGTGAAAAGGGATGTTTCCCAACCCAGTGCTCTTCTTATTCAAAATCACGAGCTTGCGTAATAAAGGGAGAGCTTGTGGCATTTATCAACACTGGAAGTAGACTGGGCTATTGTTAGGTACTTTATTTGGGGAGGTTTTCGTTCCAGAGTGTCCTCACCCCCAACAAAAGGGACCAGTTTATTGGCATATGGACTTTGTAGGAACAGGCGGAATGAGATTCTGTTCCACAAGTAACTGCAGTGACATGCACTTTGATTGATGATAAGAATGAGCCCATTTTCTAGGCTCACGTTTCTGAAAAGGAGCTAAAAGAAGAGGAGAGGGAGTTTAAGAATGTGATCATTTCCTTCCTGTCTGTGTGATTTTGTTTGAGGTTAGTGAAGGGAAATCAGTCAGGCCAGGTTCCCTTGAGAAATGCTTGAGATTCAAGTAATTTGGGGGCAATAGTTTGTCAAGGGCATCATTCTCTGGAAACAATGGGAGAATTAAGAAGCCCCCAAACCTGTGAAATATCTTAGGTTGGACTGCCATGGAAAACGGCACATGAGCTAATTTTTTTTTTTTTAACCTAGCTAAAGAGAGTAAAGAAAGTAACCCAACTAGAAAGCTTTCTCCCAAGAGAACTCGCCTGAGGAAAGTAGGTCTCCTGGGGATTTTGTGAGAGTTATATGTAGAGTTACATGGATTGTGGGGTTGAGGAATTCATATCACAAGTGAGTGCAAGATCTGGTAGCTCAGAACTGCTGAGATGGTGACAGATACAAAGCTCTTTCCTGAAAAATGGGCCAGGCATATGATATATCAGCTGTACAGTGAAAACGCATGGCCTTTATTATACAAGAAAGCTAGGGAAGATAATGGTCTCCATCGTATTACATTGTCAAAGTGGGCAAGATCTTCTACTGAACAGGCCTTCTCTGAATCTGACCACAACCACGGAACCGTCCTTCAATCTGGCAAATTCATTCTTCATTCTACTAGGTTTCTTTCGATTATCATAGCGCTCATTGCTGACTCTTTAAGATATGGGAATATTAAAATGTTTTCTTCATCCCCCTTCCCAGTCCATCCCTGTTCCTGAGGGTAACCACTTGAAAAATGCACTTTGCCTGTTTAATAAATGTCATAGAGATAGCATCATTCAGTATGTCCTGCTTAGTGTCTTGCTTCCTTTGCTCTGCAGAGATTTTAAGCATCCTCTCTGTTGCCTGTAGTAGTCGGTTCTTTCGTGTTGCCAAATTCCGTTGCCTGATAATACCTGAATATATTTACCCATTTTAGTATACATGAATATGTAGAATATTTTCAAGTTTTAGAGATTATGAAAATTCTTGAACCTGCCATGAATACGTGGGTATGTCTCTATTGGGAATACACCCGGGAGTAAAATGGCTGCATCCGAGTAACCGTATTTTCAGGTTTGGTTAGCAACTGCCAAATGGCTTCCCGCAGTGATTGTATGTACCACTTTTTACTTCTGCCAGCAGTTTAGGAAATTTTCCTATTTTTACAGCATTTTTAAAAGGCTTAATTTACAGACCATAATATACAGCTATGGTAAAAGTATAATTTGATAATTTTTAGTAAATTTATACTTGTGCAGCCATCACTGCAGTCTGGTTTTAGAACATTTTCATCACCACAGAAAGTTCCTTCCTGCCCATTTGCAGTCAGTTAATTTCTCCTGCCCTCAACCCCAGGCAACCTCAGGTCTGGTTTTGTCTTTCACTTGGTGTTAACGATTTTAACAGTTATCCATGTTTGGCATGTGTCAGTAGGTCTTTTTTTTTTTATTGCTGAATAGTGTCTCTTTTTTTTTGAATAACAGCTTTATTGAGATTTAATTCACATACCATGAAATTCATTCTTCTGAAGTGTACACATCAGTGGTTTGTTTGGTTTGGTTTGGTTTTTGAGACACAGTCTTGCTCTTGTCACCCAGGCTGGAGTACAGTGGCATGATCTCAGCTCACTGCAACCCTTGCCTCCCAGGTTCAAGAGATTCTCCTGCCTCAGCCTCCCAAGTAGCTGAGATTGGAGACACCCGCCACCATGCCCAGCTAATTTTTGTATTTTTAGTAGAGACGGGGTTTTGCCATGTTGGCCAGGCTGGTCTCGAACCTCTGAGCTCGCGATCCACCCAATTCAGTCTCCCAAAATGCTGGGATTACAGGTGTGAGCCTCTGCGCCCGGCTCTATCAGTGGTTTTTACTGTAGTCACAAAATCATGCAACCATCGCTACCATCTATTTCTTGAACATTTTCATCACTCCAAAAAGAAACTCCATCTATAGCAATCATTCCCATTCTCCTTCTCTTCTTCTGCCAGGTCCCTCCTTCCCTCTCCCTAGGGCTAGGCAACCACTAATGTACTTTTTGTCTCTATGGATTTGTTATTCCGGACATTTTATAAAAATGGATCATATAATATATGACTTTTGTCTCAGGCCTCTTTCACTCAGCATAATACTTTCAAGGTTCATCTGTATTGGGTCATGTATTCAAATTTAATTCTGTTTTATGGCCAAGTAATATAGCACATAATATGTAGAGGTGCCATATTTTGTTTATCCACTTATCAATGAATGGACATTGAGTTTTTTCCTCCTGTTGGCTGTTAGGAATAATGCGTCTGTGAATACCCATGTCCAAGTTTTTGTGTAAATATATGTCGTCAAGTCCTTTAGATGTGAACCTAGGAGTCGCCTTGCTGGGTCATACGGTAACTTTCTGTTCACAGTTTTGAGGAGCTACCTATTTTCCAAAGTGGTGGCCCCAGTTTGCATTCACATCAACAGTGTGTGAGGGTTTCAGTTTCTCTGTATCCTCACCAACAGCTGTTACTGTGCATCTCTTTGATTTTCACCAACCTGGTGAATATGAAGAGGTTGTTTCTCTTTGTAATTCTGCTTCCCATCTCCCTAATGACTGAAGATCTCCCTGTTTATTTTTAAATGTGCATGTCGGCCGGGCGCGGTGGCTCAAGCCTGTAATCCCAGCACTTTGGGAGGCCGAGGTGGGTGGATCACGAGGTCAAGAGATCGAGACTATCCTGGTCCACATGGAGAAACCCCGTCTCTACTAAAAATACAAAAAATTAGCTGGGCATGGTGGCACGTGCCTGTAATCCCAGCTACTCAGGAGGCTGAGGCAGGAGAATTGCCTGAACCTGGGAGGCGGAGGTTGCAGTGAGCCAAGATCACGCCATTGCACTCCAGCCTGGGTAACAAGAGCGAAACTCTGTCTCAAAAAAATAAAAATAAAAATAAATGAATAAATAAATAAATGTGCATGTCATGGAACCATAGCCCACGTAACCAAATGTTTCTCCTTTTTTTCCCGTAAGAAGACCCAGGTAATTCAGCAGCACTATAGGCCAAAAGATGCTGACACGTCGTCAGACAGCCTGGAGGGCTTAGATCATTGACCTTAGAGATGTAAGCAGGAAAGAGCCCAAGCAAGGAAAAAGTCCTTTTCCTTCCTCTACTCTTCT